AGCCCCACGACAATGACATGCGGAAAGTGACGTTCAACGGAGACTTGAGGAAAGCGATAGGATGAAAGGGACAAGACGGGCGGAAAACGACGTTCAACGAAGACTTGGTGAAAGCGATAGGATGAAAGGGACAAGACCTAAGGACAGGTGACGTCCGCTAAACGACGGGCCTCGATCAGAGGGCTTTGACTTAGTGTATTTTACCCCCTATAAAAGGGGTGGCACCCCTCATTGTAATGGGACCGAATTTTGAATTCAAGATACTCCCACTTTGCGCACACTCTCTCTCTCTAAAACTTTATATTATTTCATACTCTCGGTGGTTTATAGCCATCAAATTGGTGCTCTTGTTGAGAGGAGAGGAACATACTCGTAGGTTAACTCCCGAACGCGAGAATGGTGCAAACAAGGAGCAACGTCCCCACCACCAGCCACGTAGTTGGCGAGGAGAACGCACCGGGCAGCGGCAACGGTACGGGAGGTATCGGCTCGACTCCGGACGCGGTCCAGGCGCTGTTCGGCTTGGGGGTGACCGCGGAGCAGCTCCAGGCGGCCGTTGCGGCACCTTCCGCCTTGGGTGGAAACGTGCCCGGCGCCGGGGCTGGCAAAGCTCCGCTCGGCTCCCACGCCGAACACGCTGCCACTTCCCAACACAAGGGGAAGAAGACCCGGAGGAGCAGAAGGAGGCCCGGCAAGGCCCTGGCGATCGAGGAGGTGGTTGTGGAGGACGTCCCGGAGGAGGAGGACGATGAGTCCAGTGAGTGCCGAGTGTCAGCCTTCAGACGCTTAGGAGGGGAAGAGACCTGGGTGTCGGCCTTCGACAGGCTCGACCGCGGACCGGAAGTTCGCCCGGGCGACCTCCGCCGACAAATAACCGAAGGCAGGCGGAGGCATGCTGAGGAGTCCGCGACATCAGGTGCTCGCTCGGCGAGGCCCGAGCGGAGCGGAGAAAGGCGTGATGAGCGCACCCAGCATCGCCATAGCCCGACGAGAACTGAGAAGACGAAGGTCTCTGACCAAGGGGTATCTCGGCTCGCTCGTGAGATTGCCGAGCTCAAGCGTCGAGTGGAGACCAGGGCTCCATACAGCCAGCCCATCTTGTGGACGGTAACCCCGTTCACTCCGAGGGTCATGTCGATTTCACTACCGGCAAACTTTCGGCCGTGGCAGATCAAGGCCTACAACGGAACGACGGACCCCCAAGATCATTTGTCTAAGTTCTATGCTTCTATGGAAGCGGCGGCAGCCCCGGACGAGGTCAAGTGCCGATGCTTTCTCGCGACGCTGGAGGGCTCCGCGTGCGATTGGTTCAACCGGCTCCCGAAGGGAACTATTGACGACTGGGATACGCTAGCGGAGAAGTTCTTGACGCATTTCGCAGCCAACCGGAGGCAGAGGCTACCTTACTCCCACCTGCTCAACATCTGCATCCGCAAAGGAGAGAAGATCCGCGACTTCATAACCCGGTGGGAGAAAGAAGCAAGAGACGTGCACGGGGCGGATGACCAAGCGTTGGTGGCCATGTTCCAAGCAGCCCTTCCCCGCGGTGAGGTGAGGAAGGAGCTCCGCAAGAATCCTCCCCCCACGTACCAAGAAACCTTGGCGCGCGCTAAGTTCTTGGCCTCGGAGGAATTCGATGATGCCCCTGACTCCGAGGCCACGCCGACCAAGCGAGCTCCCGCAGATTCAGAGGAGATAGCGAAGAAGAGGAAGAAGAAGAAAGACCACACGGTGGGCCCGAGGACGCCCTTGGCGGGTGTGTACTCCGTGGGTGCGCCCGTGGGGACGGGTCGAGAGCTGGCCCTCTCCCCGCTCCCGCATGTAGAGACCTATGCGGTGTCCAGCGGCGCCAAGTACTGCGAGTATCGCCGCAACAACACTCACAACACTAAGGAATGCTTCACTCTTCAGAAGGAGATGCAGCGACTCATCGCCCAAGGGCCGGCTCCGCGAGACGATGGAGCAGCCTCTTCCCGGGGTCCACCAGAAGGGAGAACATGGAGGAAGCCGACCGAGCCGGTCGCGGTGGCCACGCAAGCGAGGAACCCCGAGAAGAGGCACATTGGGCGAGAGTGTGATGATCTAGACGAGGACGAAGCCCAAGGATATCCGGTGGGGTTCATCCATGGAGGAAATATCGGCGGGGACTCTGCTGCTCAAAGAAAGAGGTGGAAGCACATGGCCTTCGTCGCCAAGGTCCAACAGGCGCCGACGCCCAAGCTCGGAAGACGAGAGCAAATCCAATTCACAAAGAAGGATCTTCCGGACACGCCGAGCCCCCACCGGGACGCCTTAGTCGTGAGGATGGAGATCAACAACGCCATAGTGCACCGCACCTTGGTGGACACGGGAAGCTCGGTCAACATAATGTATGAGAAGACCTTTCACGACCTCGGCTTGGACCGCAAAGATTTAAGGCCCGTGCGCACTCCTCTCTCCGGGTTCACGGGGGACTCCATCGAGGCCGAGGGAGTTGTCACCGTGCCCGTGATAGTAGGGGATGGTGCGCAAAAGGCCAGGTTGAAGATGGAGTTCATGGTTGTGAGCATCAGCTGCGCGCACAACATGATCCTAGGACGGCCCGGCCTTGAGGACTTGGAATGTGTAATCTCCCCATACTACTTGTGCATGAAGTTCCCCACTCCTTCGGGAATCGGGGTGGCGAGGGGAGACTAAAAGTTAGCTCGGTCATGCTATGTCCGAATCACAAAGAAGTTGCCAAGGGATGAGACATTGGTCGTGCACGCACAAGAAGAAATGCGGAAGCTGGAAAGCACGGCCGAAGGCCGAGCCCGCTAAGGAGGTTGTGGAAGTGCCGCTCGACCCTCGAGCACCCGAGCGGAAGGTGAAGGTCGGGGCGAGCCTGACCGGGAGCCAGCGGAAGCGCTTAGTGGGCGTGCTCTCCGCCTACCGCGTGATCTTTGCATGGGACCCGGGGATATGCCGGGGGTAGACCCCAAGGTCATATGTCACCGCTTGGCAGTCAACCCGGAGGCTAGGCCGGTGAAGCAGAAGAAGCGATTTCTCTCATCCGAGCGGAGGGAGTTTGTCTCCAAGGAGGTGGCCACCCTCCAGAGCATTGGGCATATCAGAGAGGTTAAGTACCCGGAGTGGATGGCCAACGTGGTGCTGGCGCCCAAGGGAAACACTTGGAGGATGTGCGTGGACTACACCGATCTAAACAAGGCGTGCCCCATGGATCCGTTCCCACTCCCGAACATCGACCAGCTGGTGGACGAGACGGCGGGCTGCGAGCTCATGAGTTTCATGGATGCCTTCAGCGGGTACCACCAAATCCGGATGCACCCTGAGGACGAAGAGAAGACGTCTTTTACTACCCCCGGCGGAGTATATTGTTACAAGGTGATGCCTTT